CGCCCCAAGTTCCCTCTTCGGAGGGCGAGCCGCTACCTGCCTCTCCGAGGGCTCCGAAGGTTCCTGCTCGCAGGTGGGTGCCCCAGCCCAAACCCTTGAAACTGGCTGTCCTCCCCCGGGCTGGGGCGGGACGAGCGGGCAGGCCTCCCCGTACGCGCGGCCCCTTTTCCCGGTTCTCATTCCCCGCAGTTCGGGCCGCCGGCGCCGGGCGAGGCGCCAGAGCGCAGGGCGGAGAGGTCGGGCTCCGCGAGCGGCACCCGCTCCACGAGGGCGCCCAGCGCGCGCCCCGCCGGCGGAGGGATTCCCGCCCGGTCGGCGCCTGCGAGGTGGGCCCTGTGGCTGCCGGGGTTCCCAGGGTGGCGGGAGCGGGACCGGAAGCGCTGCGCGTACTGTCCCCTCCTCCCCTGGCGCCGGTGGAGATACCGCCGCCTCCCCTTGCACCTGAGCCAGTGGCTTAGTGGGGAGGCTGGTCTGGGGCGGGTTGAATGCTCTGGATTGCGGCCATGCGCAAAATCCACCCGCGGGGACACGTATCGCATTTGTCACAATGACTTTCTTATCTGTTTCCCCCCAGGCCCACGGGACTGGCCGGGAAGATCCTTAGTCTTCCCTCTCCTGGTGCCTGAGAGCTCTGCCTACTGAAGGGTAAGGAGAGGAAGAAGAGGAGGCAAGGAAGGCAGCCCCGCGGCAGGTGAGTGAGGGACCGCCAGCCCTGGTAGGGTGTCCAGGAGACCAGCATGAGGGACGGGTTGGAGGAGCCGTGAGGCCTTCTTGGGCTAGCCCGTTCTTGGTACTGCTAGGCAACAGTGATATCTCTCTCTCTCTCTCTCTCTCTTAAAGTTTTTATTCTAGAGAGAGAGGAAGGGAGAGAAACATTGAGCGGAAAGGATTGAGCCTGCACCTGGCAGATGCCCTGACCAGAATAGAACCAGGGCAGCAGCGGTCCCTTTTAGGCGCCATTTCTCAGTCCTTAGTGGATGTACATTGTTACTTCCATCGCTTCAGCCCACAGCAGGCCACTGAGCTCCAAATGCCCCGCCCTGGCCCCTGGCCCAGCCTCTGCGAGTCATCAGGTCTGATGCCTGTCTGATGCCCGTCTGGGGCAAGACAGTGTCACCAAAGCCCTGCACTGAACTCTTGCTTGGGAAAGAGGCTCCCGAACAGGAAGGGCAGTAGCAAGCCCATTGCCCGTGCTGAGCAACGCATTCCCCGGATCTCCAACCTGCTAAAATCCCTCCAGGTTTTCTGGCACCCAGGGTGCAGCATCCAACCTGGGATGTAGGTGCTGCGAGGAACACTAAGGGCCGAGACATAAAGAGCTCCCAAGACATAGACTGTGCTCCCTGTATCTTGCCCCACCCTGGCATTCTCTTAGGCTTCGTCTGCCGTGCTTCTCTAGGTGGGGGAGTTGGGACTGTGTGCTCAGGTCTTTTGTGGCGGGTGCAGCATACACTGCGATGCTGTGCGTTCTCATGCCGTGCACAGGACAGCGGCTGAGCACCCATTCGGTGTTGGGGTCCAATCCCAGCAGGTCCAGGGGTTCCCAAAGGTGAGGATGGAGTCGGCGAAGAAGGAATGCCAAGGAGGCAGTGTTCAGTTGATCAGCATAGTGAGGTTCTCTCTCTATTGTCCTGTTACATCTGTATTTATCCCATTTGATCCTATAAGCATGCCTCTATAATCACATCATGGTATGTTTTGGGTAACCTTCCACAGTTCCTTTTTCCATAGTTTCTTATCTGACCTTTACCAAAAATCCTGTGTCTATCTAGTTCTGTTGATTTTAATCTTGTCTAGGTTAATCTCTGTGTTTCCATTACAAGGGCTATTCCAAGGTCACTGCTTTACTGATAGGCTACAAGGAAGTGACTGAAGGAGATTCTCCTACCCAGTAAAGGTTATGTCCTCCCAGCCTCGCTGCTTGCCTTCCCTGGGACTGCCCTGTGTTGGTGGATCTCCAGGGGTATAGGCTTTGGAGCTTTCCCTGGTGGGCAGACCCCTGGGGATGTGGGCCCAACATGTCCCAAATTTATTGCCAACAGTCTTAGTCCAAGTTCTTCATAAGTAGTACATGGTATTTCTGTAACACTAGGGGGATTTACTGATTTATTCTCTTCCTTAGTCCTGTTAATCTCTAACTCCAGGGAAAAATCCTCACCTGGGGAAACAACCTTTCTCGGGGAGCTGGTCCTGGTTAAAACACATAGCGCCAAGAGGGGGAGCAAACATATGCCATATACGCCAGGTCCCTTGAAACATAAGCTGTGCAGATGTTTCTTCCCTGCAGCGACTGTGTCAAGCAACAAGGGTGGACCGGCTTCCGGCAAATTCCCCCATTTTTATTTTTATTTTTATTTTATTTTTTAAATATATTTTATTGATTTTTTCACAGAGAAGAAGGGAGAGGGATAGAGAGCCAGAAACATTGATGAGAGAGATCGATCAGCCGCCTCCTGCACGCCCCCCAATGGGGATGTGCCTGCAACCAAGGTACATGCCCTCAACCGGAATCGAACCTGGGACCCCTGAGTCCGCAGGCCGACGCTCTATCCACTGAGCCAAACCGGTTCGGCTTCCATTTTTTTTTTTTAATATATTTTATTGATTTTTTACAGAGAGGAAGGGAGAGAGATAGAGAGCTAGAAACATCGATGAGAGAGAAACATCGACCAGCTGCCTCCTGCACATCTCCTACCGGGGATGTGGCCGCAACCCAGGCACATGCCCTTGACTGGAATCGAACCCGGGACCCTTCAGTCCGCAGGCCAATGCTCTATCCACTGAGCCAAACCGGTTCAGCTCCCATTTTTATTTTTTAAATGACAGCGCGTGTAAATCAGTGGCCACCTCTCAGATTGGGTTGTTTAAGACTTGGAAGACCTGTTTGTGACTTTGCCAACAGGTCAGTCCGAGGCTTAACCCTATATCGGCTCCCCACAATTCGGAACCCGAAAAAGCGGGGTTCGAATCCTCACTTTACCTTTGATCGCTTAGGCAAGTTGCTTTACTTCTCTCCCAACTTGAATGTCATCTGCGATAAAATGGGGAGGATCATGCTTTCCTCATGGGATAGTTGTGAGGAGTCACAGTGAGACATGAGAGCAGCCCAGCAAGGGACCATGTCTCACCTCCACTTGTCAGTATTGGAAAAGCGGAAGCTACCTGAGTGCTCCTCGCTTGGAGAACTTGGAGAACGGTCTGACTATGTAGCAGGACATTGTGGAGGCCGTGAGAGCAAAGCAATGGGAAAGCAGTAAAGGCAGAGTGTCCATGGGGGCAGGTAGTGAGGTGGCCCGGGGAAGGGGCCGTTTCTGGAAGGGGATCTGAATTTGGAGGCAGAAACAGCAGCATGCTCTGTACGTGTCACATGTGGTCACATGTTCATGGGTGATCCTGGTCACAGGTGTGGCCTGGGGTAGGAGGAGCCTCTGGCTTGAGGCTTTCAGTCCTATCTCTAAGTAGCTGTGTGATCTGAGACGGGTCATTTAACTTCTCTGGGCGTGACAGAGGAGAGGGGCTTGGAGCTTGGAGTTGGAGAGATCTGAGTTTGAATCCCAACTCCACACTTACCATCTCAAACAATTACTTCTCTCCAAGCCTTGGTTTCTTCCCTTGCAAAACAGAGCTTATCGTATCTCCCTCGTAGAGTTGTGACCATTAAATGCACGAGTAAAAAGCACCCACCCAGCACAGTGCCTGGTGTGTACAGTGTATATCCCCTTCTCATCTCCTCCTTCCTCTGCCCAGCCTCCTGTCATCTTTAAAATGCACCCAGCAAAGCAGGATTGGCCCGAGTCACAGTGGTATTGTGAGCATAAAGTGAGGAGGAAGACAAAGTAAATATAGAAAGTTAAGGGCTGTAAAAATATAATCATGCATGCGTGTGTGTGTGGGGGGGGGGGGGGTGTGATTGGGGACCTAATTTTGTGAGTAGAGACTCTAGAGGATCTTTCTAGGCATTGAGAACTCTGTGATGAGTTCAGGCCTCTGCCTGCGGAGGCTGTTGAAAATCTGGGCTGGTGAGGAGGTGCCTGGCCTGCGGCCCTCCCAGGAAGGCCATTCTTCTCTCTTCCCTTGGAGATAACCCCGTGCCCAGGAGAGCACAGTTCTGTGGACCCAGGAGGGGGTTAGAATTTCGAGTACAGCGAACAGAGGTCAGAGAGCTCTGGCTGGAGCTGCTGCTGGACCACAGCTCTGCGTGTGCAGGCTGGAGCCGGGCCTGAGAGGCGAGCCTGAGTCAATATTAACCTTCTCTGGCTGGCCAGCCTGGCTCTTTGGCCTCTTATTCAACTGGAGTGTTGACACAAGTGATTGAATGAGCTTTATTATCATATTCTTTTCAACAGCAGCCCCATTATCTCTCCCCTGGGGATTCACTGGGGCCTGCAGTGTGGGAATGATGACAGGGGCAGGGAGCCCAGACATGTGGGCTTATTCTGTGCACAGTGCCCTCTGCCCTGCACACACAGCTTCTCTCTAGGCCACTCCAGGGGGACAACAGGACCTGAGCGCCACTCGGCATCCTGGGGACACTGCAGCACAATGGTCCTGGGCAGACCTTATAGAGGCCCCGGCAATGGTAGTGAGGGCCACAGCCTGGGTCTAGGACCCACCCCCTGCAGGTGACCCACCTCTCCTGACACTCATGTCATATGAAGAGGGACAGATGGTGTCCTGGACCCCTGGTGGAGGCTGAGGGAAGACAGAGGGCAGGGGCCCTGGGGAGGGGGAGGAGCTGCCCATCAGCAGACTCCCTGGAGCAGTGTGAGAGCAGGGACAGGCTTCTGTTGGGAATGCCACCGAGGGGCTGCAGTTTGGGCCGGGACAGAGGGCAGGCCAGACCCCATGCGAGTCCCTCAGGGTGAGGAGCACCATCTCTTCCGGCAGGTGGTGAGCTCAGGAGGGTGTCTAACATCTAAATACTTTTGAATAAATGAGTGAATAGTATAATTTTATATTTAAACAAACCCCAGAAAAAAAAGTTTGAGAAAAATCTTCTGACGGATGAGAAGCCTCTAATGAGAGGCTGGCTTCAGTCCACACTGTTGTCAACCAGGGGCCGAGACCCACACGGCTCCTCAGGAAGGGTGTGAGGGATGCCGGTTCCCAAGGAGGTGTGCGGAGGTTGGGCAGCCCGACTGCAGAGGTCAGCGTGGGAGGTCAGGCTCCGGAGGTGACAGGGTCCTCTGTGCTCACTCTGTGACTGGATGGTGACAGCAGTAGGGGTGCCTGTGTGATTGCTGTCATTCCTCTGCCTCAGTGCCATGATTCTAGAATAGTTCCTTTCCCAAAGCAGCCCCGTGGGTGGGCCTGAGAACTACGCAGCGTGGGTGGTGGGAGGTGACAGCCGACTGCAGCCACGTTCACATCAGGATCTGGGTCAGATAGACGTGGCTCTGCCTCTTCTTTGCTGCTTGACTTGGGCAAATCATTAATCTCTCTGAACATCAGTTTCCTCATCTGCATAATGGGCCAATAACAGCCTTACCTCACAGGCTTGCGGCGAGGAGATTTTGTATGTGAAATACTCAGTGCACCTGATTGAGTGTGTCAACCTATGAACCAGGAGGTCACGGTTCAATTCCTGGTCAGGGCACAGGCCCGGGTTGTGGGCTTGATCCCCAGTGTGGGGCGTGCAGGAGACAGCCGATCGATGATTCTCTCTCATCATTGATGTTTCTCTCTCTCTCT